TCTCCAAAGGTTGATGCTGAGTTGTTTGAAACAATTCAAAGCCACCTGTATGTAAGGGATCAGAAGTTGATGTTGTATGAGAATATGCTAGAAGAGGAGATGCTGGTGAGGTCAGAGGTGAATAATCTGTCAAATGAGTTCCAGGCAGTATCTCAAAAGCTTGTAGCATTGGAAGAGGAAAAAGGGTCCCTGCAGAAAGATGTTGAACGATCAGAGGAGAAAAATACTGTGCTAAGGGAGAAGTTGTCCATGGCAGTCAAGAAAGGTAAGGGACTGGTTCAAGACCGGGAAAACTTGAAACATCTTTTGGATGAAAAGAACTCAGAAATTGAGAAGTTAAGGCTTGAGTTACAGCAGCAACAATCTGCACTTGCTGAATGCAGGGATAAGATAAGTAGTTTGTCTACTGATGTAGATCGCATCTCAAAGTTAGATGCTGATCTTGTTTCTATGAAGGAACAACGGGATCAACTTGAACAGTTCTTACTGGAGAGCAATAACATGTTACAGAGACTAATTGAATCTATTGATGCCATTATTCTTCCTATTGAGTCAGTTTTTGAAGAGCCTGTGGGGAAGGTAAACTGGCTTGCAGGGTACATGAATGAATGTCAGGATGCCAAGGCAAATGCACAGCGAGAGTTGGGGATAGTAAAAGAGGAAGCCAGTAATCTGGCTGCTAAGTTAGCAGAAGCCCACTCAACCGTAAAATCTCTGGAAGATGAATTGTCAGTTGCAAAGAATGATATATCTCAACTTGCTGAAGAAAAGAGGGAAATAGAAGTGGATAAGACCAATGTTGAAAAAGAGTTAGAGAAAGCAATTGAAGAAGCTATGGCCCAGGCTAGCAAGTTTGGTGAGGTTTGTGCATCTAGAAAGTCACTGGAAGAGGCATTGTCACTTGCAGAAAATAATGTATCTGTGCTTGTCAGTGAAAAAGAAGGGGCTTTGGTCAGTAGAGCTACTGCAGAAACAGAGCTGGAGAAAGTGAAGGAGGAAGTTGATATTCAGACCAGCAAACTAACAGTGGCCTACAAGACCATAAAGTTGCTTGAAGATTCCCTATTGCAGGCACAGGCCAATGTTTCTTTACTTACTGAACAAAACAATGATTTTCAAATTGGTAGAACCGATTTAGAGGTTGAGCTAAAGAAACTCCAAGAGGAAGCTAGGTTCCATGATAACAAGCTAGCAGATGCCCATGCAACCATAAAATCACTGGAAGATGCATTGCTGAAGGCAGGGAATGATATTAACGTACTTGAAGGTGGAAAGAAAAATGCTGAAGAGGAAATATTAACGCTTAATTCCAAGTTAAATGCATGCATGGAAGAGTTGTCTGGAACTGAGGGCAGCATAGAAAGCAGGTCCAAAGAGTTCAGTGGTGACTTTCATAAACTTCAACTCTTAATGAAGGATGAGACTCTGTTGTCCACTATGAAAAGATGTTTTGGGAAGAAATTTAAGAGCCTGAAAGATATGGACCTGATTCTTAAAAATATATCGAACCATTGTGTTTCCTTGGGTTTAGAAGACTTGCAAAGACACCAAGTATTGGAGGTATATAATAAGTTTTCTTCTTTAGTGCTCACTTTATTTTTGTTTTTGTGCATGCTATGTTGGTGGACCAGAATCTATCTGCATTTAGATCTCGCCTTTTCTATGTTGACATGCCAATCGAACATGGTCCTCAAATTTGGTATTAGTTTTTTTTTTTTTTGGCTCTGATAAAATCAAATTCTTTTATAATTAGAATGTCATATGATGAACAATCCCCAATGACTCAAAATATTTGTGAAGATCTCTTATTTTCTGTCAGAACGGATGATGTTTTCAAGAAGAACTCGACTTCTTTTTGTTTTCTAACTAGCCCCTTTTATTACTTATTCCAGGAGGATTCATATGTGGCAAAATCTTTCTCAGAAGGTCTTGACAGTATTTCCAGTGTTGAAAAGGATAATGGTGAGGACAATGTTACAGATGTCGAAGATGTGTCTTCATGTTTGAAGAAGACTGTGGAAAGGTTCCAGTTGCAAAACAATATTCTTGCAGAAAATTTTGAACGCTTCTCTCTTTCTACAGATGAGTTTATTGCAACTCTATTGAGAAAATTAAAGGCAATAAGGGATGAAGTAGTAACTGTGGTTGAGCACACGGCATCTTTTAAACGAAAGGCAAATAATCTGGAAATATATGAACAGGAACTGGAGAATACAATAGCCATTTTAGAAAATGATCTCAAGTCTCTACTTTCTGCATGTACTGATGCTACCAGAGAACTTCAGTTTGAAGTCAAGAACAATTTACTTGAATTGAGCTCTGTTCCTGAGCTTGAAGATTTAAGACATTATTCGTCCCCAGAAAGAGGAGTAATTGCTGAAGAGGCCACAGAAACACATGAGCAAGCTCTAGACGGCAGCAAATATGGAAAAACAGCAGAAATGTTGTCAGTTTCTATTAGAAAAGTTAAAGCTTTGATTAAACAGTTTGAGAGCACAAGTGAAGTGGCAGCCTCTACAATTGAAAATTTGCAGAATAAACTGACCGAAGCTAGGTCATCTTCTGAAAAAGCCATGGAAGAAAGGGATCTAGGAAAAAATAGGATTTCCAAGTTGGATGCTGATATAGAAGCATTACAGAATAAAGTGGCAGAAGCTAGGACAAATTCTGAAAAAGCCATGGAAGAAAGGGATCTAGGACAAAATAGGATTTCCAAGTTGGATGCTGATATAGAAGCGTTACAGCATTCATGCAGCAAGCTGACGCTTAGACTAGAGGATTATCAAGCAAAAGAGGATAAGTTTAGGGAAAAGGAGGCAGAAGCTCAAATCCTGTACAATACTTTGCTAATGAAAGAACAAGGTAAAGATCTTAAATCTTTTCTTTCCTTTTCATGATGTTGCTGAACATATCTACTTTGCTGTTCTAATGACTGTAAGTGCTCTAATGACTCATTTGTTCACATTTTCTTGTTTCAGAGGCTGAAGACTCCCTCCTGTCGGCATCTGAAGTCAAAACCCTCTTTGACAAGATCAGAGGGATTGAAATCCCTATGCCAGAGTCAGAAGTAGGAAATTTGGAGCTGCATGATTCAGCTCATGTAAAGAAGCTCTTTTATGTTATTGATAATATTATTAACCTTCAGAATCAAATAAACTTATTGTCTCATGAAAAAGAAGAACTGCAGTCAACTCTTGGGACTAGGATGCTTGAAATTGGACAACTGAAGGAGGAGGTTGAACATTATGACAGAGATAGAAAAGATACAGAGAAGATGAAAAGCGAACTGTCTGTGCTCATATATAGTTTGGAAAAAATTATAGATATGTCGGGAGGTAATGATTTAGTTGGAGACCAGAAATCTTCTGGTGTGATGGGACTTCTATCAGTATTAGAGAAGCAGGTTATGGCTTTACAAATGGAGTCTGAAAATTCAAAATCAAAAGCCCAGGAACTTGGTACTAAGTTGGTCGAGAGCCAAAAGTTTGTGGAGGAATTATCAACCAAGGTTAATGTGCTTCAAGATTCACATCAAGGAAGGCCTGCTCAGCAAGAGATTGTTCAGGAAAGGAGCATCTTTGAAGCACCTTCGTTGCCTACTGGTTCCGAGATATCTGAAATTGAAGATGTGGTAAATATTGATTTATATGATTCCACTATACATTTCTGCAAAGTTGTCTCTTGATTTATTTTGAACGGCTGATATGTGATGCCATTATTTTCCAGTTAATGTGTTTTAAGGTAAAATCAATATAAACTTCGGTAGGTGATTGAGGTATAGGCTCATCAAGTTAGTTGTGTGTTGAGGAATATGTGCTTTGAAGATGAAATGTGTTAGTAGTTTTGTTTCAACATCTTTATAAAATATTTTCCTGCATACGTAAGAACTGAAGTTGTTTGTAAATCAATTATATTCAGGGGCCAGTTGGAAAGAACACAATATCTCCTGTACCATCTGCAGCTCATGCGAGAGCTATGCGGAAGGGTTCAACTGACCATCTCACAATTGATATTGGTTCTGAATCTACTCGTTTAATCAACAGTTCAGAAACTGACGAGGACAAAGGTTTGCACTTTAGGATTTGTCTGTCATTCCTAGTAGTTTTAAGGCCTGGTAAACTTATTTGTTTTGTTTTTCTTTTCTTGCCCTCTTCCAGGTCATGTATTCATGTCTCTCAATGCATCTGGTCTCATTCCAAGACAAGGAAAGTCGATTGCAGATCGAATTGATGGAATTTGGTAAAGTGCTGAACTTTAAACTTATTACATAAAGAAGAGGGTGGGGATGGATAATACCAATTTCTGCTAGGTTATCTTTTTTAGTTTTTTCAGAAATACATTACAGGAAAGCTTTACTAAGGTGCTTCATTCTCTATATATACAGGGTATCTGGTGGTCGAGTTTTGATGAGTCGGCCAAGGGCAAGGCTAGGCCTAATTGCCTACTGGCTCTTCTTGCATCTGTGGCTGCTGGGAACCATTTTGTAACCAAGTCTGATTGTTTCTCATTTTGGGTCTGCAAGCAAAATGTATCATAGCCTTTTTGTCATTCTTCTCTTTCGCTTTGCATATATGCCCCGTCCCCAAGTTAATTCTCTGCAATCACATTTTTAGGTTGCAGAGGATCAAATGGCTCTATGGCCGTGGAAATATTTTTTTCCACTTTTGCCAGTTATTTGTTTTGTTTAATCGTAGTTTGATATATGACAGATGAACCAGAAATCTTTGTAGTGAATCTAGCGACACAGTACTTTCAATCCTTATGCATATTTTTTACATTACAGTGGTAACACCAATTACCAACCAGCATAATTCTTTTATTTAATCTGCCCCTGCCTTGCCATACGCTTCCCAAAATACTGGATTTTATTATATATTGTTATTTGATAAATGCAAAAGACCGGATTTAGAATCCGTAAAACACATGGGCGCACCAGAAATGCACCCAAAAAAAAACAAAATTAATCATAAAAAGCACGAAGCTTTACATGGTCTGTTAGTCGTTGGTTGTTCAGTCTTGGGTCTTCAGCTCCGGTCGTTCTCATGTTTCCAGTTCTAAGCACCGGATTTTTAATAGATTTTTCTCTTTAAGGAGCACTCAAAGAGGTGCATAATTCCACGCAAAACTAAAGAGGTTCGTTCGTTTAATCTTCACTTGCCATTTTTTCTGTTGTCCAAATGAATAATCTAAGCGAGATTCAATTTAATTTATGGACTTAGATTTTCTGGTGAAGTTGAATTTAGGAAATTGGTTTTAACAGAACTCTGCCCCTGCCTGCTACTATCGAATGGGTTCGCTTGCTGTGAACATTTGGCGGTCTACAGTAAACAATGCCGCCTTTACAACCCCATTGAGTTGGGGAAGCTCTATCTTCATCAGTTAGTCTTTTCACACTGCTTGAATTTGTTTCTATGTTTCTGGGTTTCTCCTGGTTTTAAGAGATTAACCCACTATTATCTATCTTATGCATCATTTTGCTTAGTTCTTGGTTGGCGTTTATGATTTTGCTTCTTGCCTGATTTTACAAAAGTTGAAACATTTGGACAGGTGGGAATTTGCTTGGCCTTTATGATGCGCAGAAGGTTTTACCTGCCAAATTATGCAGTGTGAGGCTTTCATTTCTACACTGTTTGGTCTATAACTATAATCTTAAGACAAACACTCTATTTTTCATTCACTATAATATTGATACAGTTGTGCGTTTCTGTCTTGGCAGGGAGTTTCAATTAGCCCAAGAGCTTTTGCAAGTCGGAATTCGGTGAAGAAACTGAGGAGGGACGGAGAAGCACGGAAAAGAGTAGCAGATAAGAGCACTGCTTCTGAAGATGATTATGTTCAAATTGACAAGAAGGTGGACCCTTCTGATAATTTAGCTGCAGAGGAATTGGTTGTATTCCCTCCCAGAGGTGCTGTGCTTCAGGCTTGCACTGTTACTTCTGGGTTGATAGCGGCATTGGGTATAATAATTCGACAGGTATGATTTACTTAATGTCTTCTTGGATCAATGTTTTTTGTTGAATTTTTAGGTCCACCTAACCTAATAGTTTTTACATTCTTGCCTCTTTTTTAGTTTCTAATGGTGATGTGTGAACAAACTCTTTTTGTTTTCCTGTTTTACCTTTTTGAGAACTTCTTTTATTTTCTTTCTTCTTCTACTAGGCAGTATATTTTGATGGACTATTTAAACGAAGAGAACAGGATAATAGGCCAGGTTTTTTATAGACTTGGATATACATTTTGGACCTTATAGAACACATTGCACTGCACTTTCTCTTCTTCCTGTGACTCAATTGTCCTTGTTTCTGTTATTTTATGTACTAAAGTTTATATTGTCTGATAAAATCAACATTTTCCCCTGAACATCGACTAGTCATGACCTATCTGCAACTTGCAGGCATCTCATGTTGCATCAATTGAAGGATTGCCAGTCTTTGACTGCTCGTTGGACATATCATGTATGAACTTTCACTTACTCTTCTCGATGCAAGAATTGTCAATGGAAAGTTTATTTTCATTCTCTTTGATAAGAAGGAGCACCTGCATCTTTGGCAAAGAGACAGCCTATAAGCAAGATTTGTGTAGAGTGGGTTGTCTCAACCTCGAGTCTTATTTTAAAGGACAAATAACTTCATGGAAAGGCCATATAGATGAGTCATATTCAACGTAGGTGACCAATAGGTGGCTAAGCTTTTTATAACAGGATAGAAGTAGATATGAGAAACATTAATTGAATACTTCGTAGATGATGGAGGAAAACCCATCCCACTGCAAGATCAACTTTCCATTGCTTTCTTCTCTTTAACCTTTTTAGTTTCAGCTTTTTATGTCATTGGCTCTGGATTAGTTGTTTCATTAGTTTAAAGAGCATAACTCTTTTCTCCCCTTTTCTGCAGTTGATTTTGAGGTGTGGTATCTTGAGTTGATTACAGGATTAGTTATTGTTATATCATTATGCCGATATCTCTTGTTGAAGACATGGCCAGATTTTGCAGAATCTAGCGAAGCTGCCAATCAGCAGGTATCGACTTTCTGCTCTAGCACATCTGCAGGGACTAAGAAGAGTTTGCAGTAAACGCAGTCAATAGTTGTCTCCACAACACAAGCTAATTAGATTTCTGGATTACACATTGAGGAAACTGTCTCTACGGCATTTAAAACTTGTATAATCAGACACAAAAGAGCCTAGTTGATATTATAGTAACTCAGTTCCCCATTGCTGCTTGTTAGCATCCCTTTAAGTGAGAGTATTCCATAGCTGCTTCTGCATCTCTGACATACATCTTTTCTTGTAACTTAGGTCCTTAGTTCACTTCAACCTTTAGATTACATAATCGTCGCATTTTTGCCTGGGATTAGCGAGGTAAGCAAATACATTTCATCACATTGTAGTAGCTTACCATTCTTGTTTGTTCAACTCATTTTGCATTAATTCATGGTGCATTGGTTGGGCAGGAACTTCTTTTCCGGGGTGCACTGCTACCACTTTTTGGATCTAATTGGAGGAGTGCATTGGCTGTCGCCATCATTTTTGGTGTTCTACACCTGGGGAGTGGCCGAAAGTATTCCTTTGCCGTTTGGTACTTGTCTTCGTATCTCTATCCAAGTACTTAAATGCTCCATTCAGGCCATTGTTAGATATGAACAGCTTTAACACCAAATGAGTTTTCAACCTTACCTATCTGAATTCCCATTTCTGATATCGAATACATCACAGTGCAAAAAGACTTGCCATATAATGGCAACTTATGGAAATAAATTTATGGAGTTGAACTCTCCATGAAAGTTGTGTGTTGAAAATATTGCTTAGTGATTGATGATTTTCTGCCGTGTTGCAGGGCAACTTTTGTTGGGCTTGTGTATGGTTATGCAACCATCGTCTCCTCCAGCCTTATAGTGCCAATGGCTGCTCATGCGGTGAACAATTTGGTGGGAGGGATATTATGGCGCTACCGATCAGATTCACCGCGGCGGATATGAGAAGACTGCCACTGTCATTTGCCAACAAGTGTACATAATTTTTTTTGTGACTTGGAAGCCTACAACTTCAAACTAGTGAAGTCAATGTAGAAGTTGATCAACCGTATGTTTTTCTTTTTACAAACAATATTCTAAACTACACTACTTTACATATTAACTTACCTATACTTATATGTAAATTAATTTACCTATCTTATGCATAGAGGCAAAAATACATAGGTAAATTAATTTCTAACAAAAACATAGGGATCAAAAATTATAGGAGCAAGAACGTGTCTTCTTGCTTCACAAATAAATCCCTCAACAACGGTTGAAAATTATCCACGCTACGCTTGAGAATTAATTATTATGCACTTTTATCAAACGACACTGTTTGCTCCCGCTTCCAAGACGACTGCTTAAAAATTATCGAACGACGGGATTGGTTCAATTATTTGGCTGCAGGCAGCTGATGGTGCTCCATATGGCACGTAGGGCTGGCAATGGGTCGTGTCGTGTCGGGATAATAAACGTGTCAAGAATGCTCAACCCGAACCCAACCCATTTAATAAACGTGTCGTGTCGGGTTCGGGTCGTCTTTTATCGTGCGGGTTTCGAGTCGTGTAACGGGTTCATAAATAATTATATGCATGTTACGAAACTCACAATTGAAAAAAATTTAAATTAAAAAAAACAGAGAGAGTAGAGAAAATATAAGGAAAAGAAAGAAAAAAAAAATAAAGAGAGGAGAGAGAGAAGGAAAAGAAAGAAAAAAAATAGAGAGAGAGAGAGAGAGAAGATTGAAGGAAAGAAAGAAAGAAAAAAGAGAGATGAGAAAAAACTAAAGAGAAGGAAAAGAAATAAGAAGAAAAAAAGGAGAGAAGAGGAAAGGAAAAGAGAGGAAAAAAAAAGAGAGGAGAAAGAAAAAAAAAAGTGGAGAAGAGAGATGGAAAAGAAAGGAAAACACAAAAGAAAAAGAAACATTATAAATATTAAAAGACATATGATAAAATCACAAAGTTATTTGTAGCATGGTGGATAAGGTGTTTGAGAGAAATGAGGGTGGTAGGGGTTCGAAACCCCTTGTGTGTGTGCTGAAGTCTCCATTTCTCTTCATTTTTTAGCGGGTTGACAGGTATTATAGCGGGTTGACACGACCCGTTTAATAAACGGGTTAGGTAGGTATTATAGCGGGTTAGCGGGTTGACCCGAAACCCACCCGTTTATTAAACGGGTCAGAACGGGTTGACCCGAAATTGACCTGTTTTTTTATCGTGCGGGTTGAACCGGCTAATTTCTCATGCGGGTTTCGAGTCGTGTATCGGGTCGTGTCCGAAATTGCCACCCCTAATGGTACGTACTCAGTCGTTGATTGAAGGGGTTTCAAACCCCACCGTCAATTTTAGGGTTGGTTCAATTTCAGCTCTAATCATCTTTGAACTTTGATCCGATTTGCATTTAGGTTCCTCAATTTTCAAAATCATTCATGTGGTCCTTCAGCTTCAGTTGTGTTAGGACAAATGGTCTTACTGTCAATTTTATTATATTTTCTGTTAAATGCATAGGCAAAATAGTATTTTTGTATTATTTTTAATTTACACTATTTGAATATTTCTATCACTCAAAAAATAAAATAAAAAACTAAAAACTAAAAGACCTTTTTCCTATCCTTGCCACAATAGCCACAACCCCTCCAACCCAACCCCACCTAAACACAACCCACAACAACAACCACCAAGACATCCTCACCCTCACTCTCACCATCCCACTCATGGCTTTGTTGGATTGTAGGAAAGGAGATATATCATTCCTCGATTGGTGGTGGGTTTTAATGGGCTTGGCTTGGGAATGTAGTGGAGGGAGATGTATGGATGGGGAGAGTTAAGTTGCAGCGGTGGGAGAGTGGGTGTGGGGTTTGGGTACGCCAGCAATTGCCCATGTGCCTAAGGAGTGAAGCAATTTTCGATTTTGACCCTCAGGAGTACACCATGTGCCATGCATATGCTCAAATTTAACAGAAAAGGTTAACAAAATTAATGGCAGGACCATTTGTCCTAACGAACCTAAAGTTGAAGGACTACATAAACGATTTTGGAAATTAAAGGACCAAAATATGAATGTGGTCAAAATTTAGGCACCATTGAACCTAAAAACCCTGGTTTCTAATTACTTATTGACATTTTCTTTTCTCTATTATTTGGTTGGTTATGGACTGATTTTATAATGCAATATCTATATATAACGCAAAACGAGAGAATGGTAAAACATTCAAAATGTCATTAGTTAATGCAAACATTAAGAATTGAAATTATTAATTAAATGAGGATAATATGGTAAATTCACACTTTTTCATATTTTAAAAAATTAAAATTAAAAGAAAAATCAAATAATGAATCTTATTTTTATGGAACACAATTACGCATTATCTTTTTTAATTCTAAAATAAATTTAAATTTTTTTAAAAAAAAACCTCTCGCATGCGAGGAAGCGCGTGCGGAGAGGTGCTTTTTTAACTTACTCAATTCATCTCACAAGCCTCAAATCTTCTCCCATGATTTAAATCAGTCCATGAAGTCCATGTTTTGATATACCCTCGACATCCGCATAGCTTCCTTGCACTAGGGCTCTGATTTGTTGATGAAGAAGAAATCTACGACATTTTTGTGCATGCACAGTGTGAGCTTCACCAGATTTTCTTTGGCGCTAGATTTGACATTTTTCGGGTGGAAGTTACTTTAGATGGGAGGTTGGAAATTGTAGACTTGAAAAGACAAAATTGCCCATGAAATTGACACCATGTTAGAAAGACTTGGCAATAGGGACTAATAGTGCAACACAACGCCTAATTGAGTGGTGTTTGTACCATATCTGACCCGCCACTCACGTCATAACATGTGAAAAGTAAACGAGGTTGAGACCAGCTCAGTGAGCCATGCCGAATGGTCAATCGGCATACTCCACCGTTTCATACGTGGTCGTCAAGTCAGTATGTGACATCGACCGACTTGACCACACCAACCTTTGGCACACGATGCCTAGCAACCAGTCAGCACATCTGGCCGATTCTGATAGATAACCTTGGAACTCCTGCCAGAATCTGTCAGGGCACGTGTCGATCGTCGAAGACACTCCCACGAGTCCCACATCGAAACTAAGTACTAAGAGCATCACAAATGCTCTCTATAAATAGAGCTCATTGGCCCAGCCAAAAGGTAACACTGTTTTACTTGACTTGTGTTTTCACACTGTCAATAAGAATTGATCTTAGTCACTAACTTTGGCATCGGAGGGTCTTTGGCCGGCGCTACACCAGTGTCTTAGGCTTCACCTGCCGTTTCTTTCTCCAGACCGAATCCAGCATGGCATCTCAAGGAAAGAAATCACGGACCGAAGACTTCTTGGGTCCAAACCATCCACATCACCTGTAAGTTAACTTTATTTCTATCTGTTTAGTTTTAGCGCAAACAGATTGGCGCCGTTTGTTCGATTGACAATCAGCCCATATCTCTTTTTCCACCTCACTATAGACCCATCTTCGCCCCTTGTGACCGATGTTCATATCCTCGGCCTCGCCAGCAGAGCAAACCCCGCTGCACTGCCTGGCACACCTCGAGTGGAAACGCCAGGAAGGTAGAACAACCTGGAGGATAAGATAGAAGCCCTGCAGCGGGAAATGGTGAAAATGCAGGAACATAACAACATCCTTTCCTCCAAACTAGACGACACCCAGAAACAGCTTCACGAGCAACAATCACACTCGGCCCAACTATAGGATGGTTTGGAATAGACCCTGCAGCTTAGCCAGGAGCAATCACTCAAAAGCGTACCAAAGCCTAGCGATCAGAAGAGAGGAAAACAACCAGCCATGGGCGGGCCATCAGTCTCCCGAAGGCTGTTCGTGCAATCTCCAGAGGAACACCACCGGAAATATCAAGTTTACTCCGATTGTCGCGACAGACTCAACGATCAGCGTAGGGAATGGCGAACTTCCCTGATTCCGGTCCAAGCAAAACTCGACGATCGGCACTTGGACGTACTCGGACCGAAATCTCCTCTTCATCGACGGTATGACTCGATCAATCTTAGAAGAAACAGATGAATCTGACTACGTTCCGACCTCTCCGGGAACGACGATCTCATGTCAATCAGCAACATCAAGATCATCCGGACTAGAACACCGATAAGCCAAAGAGAACAATCAGCAGAAAGGAGGTCCCGTCAGAAACTCCAACCAAGCGGTGGGCCACAAAACACAAAGACATGATGTTCGCCTTCCAACTGGCCCCCAGACGTCAGAACCCTTTTGCAACAACCTCCCTTCTACCGATCCCACCATCCGCCTCCTCCTTTAGAAAGTCAACCAAATCGAGGAAGAACAGAACCAGATTCAGACACCAACCTGGGGAAAGGTACAGCCAGGGCCGTTCACCAGCCGAATTCGAATCTACCGACACGAGAATGAGGTCCAGGCACTCCGAATATCATTCTACATAGGAGTAGAAGATCCTTTTACCCACATTCATACCTTCCAATCGGCCCTAGGTTGCAAAGGGCTCACTGATGAAGGCTAGTGTCTACTATTTCTATCCACCTTGGTCGGAGTAGCCCTGAATTGGTTATATCGGCTGGAGCCAGGTACAATAGACTCTTTTCGTCAATTAAAACCAACTTTCCTCAATCATTTTATGATACAGACCGATCGCATTTACTCTGTCAACTACCTTTACCCCATTCGGTAAGGAGACGACGAGCCTCTTTGGAAGTACGCAGCCAGATTCAGCCATGAATACTTTTGGTGTCTATAGACCGACGATCGAGCAGCCTTCGGCGCTTTCAAAAGTGGCCTCAGAGCATCTCAATTTCGCTATCTAGTCCACAGCAGCAATTGGACAACATATGGTGAATTGATGAAACAGGCAGCCATTCACGCCAAGGCGGAACACTTCAACTCCAAATGAGTGCCTTCGACACCCCCTACCCAACGATGAACGTAGGTCAAGCCCCAGCACCAACCTATGACCGTTTCCTACCACACCAAATTACAAATCAAGCTCCCTACCAAATGGCACCTATCGTGTGTACTCCTTACACAATAGGAGACAAGCGAAGGGACGAATTTCAAGGTCGGCAGGACGGAGTAAACGCAATAAGGAGCCGAGTGATCGAGTTGATTTTCGAAGCCCAAAAAAGGCCCGACCAGA